TGGAAAAGTCAGTAATCTGAGGTATCAAACTTAATCCTTTGGAAAAGAAATGCAACTGGTTTTAGTCTATTTAAAGTTAAGCGACAAACAAGATGTAATAAATTTAGGGAGCAGCCTTGGGAGGGAGATGCTAGACAATTTGACTGCAAATATCTTCAGTGTTTAGTGCATGTTATTCTTAAATAGAACTTAATAAAATAAATATGAGTACGGATAAGCCCGCGGAGATGCATTATACAGCCATGTCAGTGAATCTTCTTTCACCTCTGGGGATGAGCAAAAGCAGTTAAAATACAAAATGTGGTCACTCATCAGTTTCAGGCAAGGACACCAGCTTGCAGGAGCATGGAAAGACTCATTAAATAAGTCTTCCTAAAATCAGGAAGATAACCTGTTTTGTAAATGGGCCTTTTCTAGTAAAGGTAGTATGTAATACAAACCATAATTAGCAAATGGAATATGAATTTAGTGGCAGCAAAATCCCTTTTTATACAAGTATTATGTATGTATTTGATAAAGTATGTATCAAGATAAAGTTTTAATTAAACTTGTTTCTCCTAGGCACCAATTTTCATAAAGATCGTGGCTACACAGCCTTGTTTCAGTGCCTTCGCTGAAGGAAGATAAATTGGTTTTAGCAGGAGAAGGCTGGGCAGTCAGGCCGTCTGTGCTGTCTGACGGGCGGCCGAGCTTTGGGCCAGGAGCGTAGCCAGCATGGCAGAAGACATAGGTAGGGGTAGGGGAACTGGCACTATCAGGGTGTCAGGCCAAAAGGGAGTGACCAGAAGGAAATTCCACTTTGGGGTTTCCTGGGGGAGCTTAAGGAATGCGAGGTGGGAAGGCTGGGAGTGCTGCAGGGAGAGGGCATTGGAGGTACGAGCTGGAGGGGCTGTGGGTACAATGGGAAGGCCGTCACGGGGACAAGCTGGTAACGAAAGGGTGTGAAGTTGGGGTTTGCACAATGGGGACTTAAGAGACAGGAAGCAAATTCATAGGAAACTGGTCTTCCTTCAGCCTGCTGCTCGCAAAACAGGCTATTCTTTAGAGCTGCAACTGAGCGAGGAAAGGAAGAGGGCATGGAATAATGCGGGAGGCACGTTTCTGAGTCTCCCTAGGACTAACCTCAGGGCCAGCGGATTTCTTTCACTGCGGAGAGGAGGAGGATTTGCAGTGGATCCCTTCTCTGGAAATGATGCTAACCAGTTTTTTTAATCTCAGCAATATATCCACCTAAAAATTAAACCTCCTCACCTCATTTGGCAACTTGTTTGTAAGAATGAAAATGAGCTGGCTTAGCGTGGGTCAGCTGTAGATCGTCAACAGTGTTATTTCCAATGAGATGCCATCACATAAACCAGGCTTTCTGCTGCTTTGCAGTGCATTGCTCCCACTGTTTTCCCCTCACTTGAAAGCTGATCCATTGCTTTAGATTTTAGTTGTATTACAAAGGATTACGGCTTCAGGTGAACTGTAACCAATAAGTCAGAATGGGAAAATACAGTTGTATCTCACTAGTAGATAAGTTTTCATAAAAACAAAGACAATAAAAATGCCAAAATAATGACTGCCATTACAAGTATATTTGACTCTCCCAAATGTGACTCCCAAAGTGCTTGGATGTTTTCCATGAAATTCATTACATGGGTCTCATTCCATTTGGACATAAGAATAGGGATACCCTTACAAATCATAGTAAGCGAACATTTCTGTTAGTAGCGAGTAATGGCAGCATTTACTCTTCCAGAGATGACTCATGTAGATTGTACTTTTTTTTCAATGGAGTTCTGATTTTGTCATAGATGCATATGAAGTTTATAATCGTGCTTAGTTTATTCTTGCTTAGCTCTGACCAGCCACCCTACGAAATTATATTTTTAGACTTGTTTCCTAAGGAAATGAAGCTTGCAGTAGTCATGCTGTCACAGTCAGCTGTCATCGTCCATCCATCTGTCCACCCTTGATAACTCAGCCAATTTTAAGCAAACTTGACAGACTGGCAGAGATAAGCTAACTACTTTTCTCCAGCTTGGTGCCTGGGAGGGTCATTGTTGGTGTCCCTCACTGGAGGAGAAGCCAGAGCAATTCCAGCTCTTTGCTCGGTCCAAGCGGGGCTGAAGGACAGCGGGGCGCTGGGCACGGTGCTTGGCTGGCCAGCCCAACAAAGGTAGGGAGGGCAACACCAGGGGACATGGAGTATACTTTGAGGGCAGTTTGGAGATCGCACTGGGGAGCTGGAGGTATGAGAAGGACGTGGGGGATGCGAAAGCAGTCATATGGTAAGGGGGTTTATTGTGGATCCTGCAGGAGATGGGGGAGGCAGAGGAGGAATAGTGCGGCAGGAGGTGTAAGGAGAAAAACAGGAACAGATTTCCTTCGTTCTGCTCACGGAACAACTTGCTTCCTTTTCTGTCATAGACGCAGTTATGAATGTTGTAGCCTCACAGAAAAAATGAGTGTTAGATAATGTTGTGCATGCCCTTTGCTGTGCTTGGCTGCGGATGGGTCCTGCATAGTCACTTACCTTGCTCAAACCAGCTGGAAAGAGAGTCTTTGGTGCATGTCACTGGTATTGCAAAAGGCTAATCATTACCATGCTATTGGCCTTAAAAAGTTTTGTTACATTAAATGTTAAGCTTAAACTGAAGAGCTCTGACTGCCTTTATTGATAAAGAAAAACAAGTGAAGTTTCTGTTGTTTGGGGTTTTTTTTCTTCTGTGTTGTTATGGTTTGTGTTGAATGGGGAGGATAGAAAGGAACATTTTAAATGTCAGACGCAGCACTGGAAAGTTTGTGGAAAAAGATGCAACTTGAAACTCCAAGTGAAAGAGTGCTTGGATGACAACCTTTTGCTAAATGTTTAGACACCTTTATTGGAATTCAGAAATTTTTTTTCACCTGTTTGTCAACAATTTCTTCTCTAGATACTTCAGTTTATGGCATTCTCTTATCACACTACATCCCCATAGCTCACAGTTATCTCTGTGCTCTGATTTTCAACTAGTTTTCTCCTGGCTACCTACTTCATCATCTGCTGGGTTTTTTTATTTTATTCGTTCTGCTGCTGTAATTCCAAGAAGTGGTGCTGCAGATCTCCGTTACAAAGCACATCAAAACCTAAGCTTTTAATCTGGAAGGTTCAGTCTCAGTGTAGGGCTTTATGTAGAATGAATCTATTGAAATAAAATTGCTTGTTTTCCATGAAGTTATACAAGTAATTTCCCCCCTTTCCTAACAGAAAAACCCTTAAGTTGTGTTTGTTTCTATCACCCTAATTTAATGCTCCTAAGTTCTGATACATCCTTGTCTTTTGGTTGCACATGATCTCTAAACTGATGAAAATTTCCAGTCTTGGCAGACATCAGAGGCTGGCCAGCTTCTGATTAGCACTTGCTTGGACATTCTTTTCCTGCGATTGTCTCCCCTAGTACAATAAGCTGCTCTCCCTCTTTTTGCCTGAAAGTGCAGCCGCTGGCTGTCGGCTGAAATGATGTAGTTAGAATGACATTAGGATGTAAGCAGGCTCCAGCAGGAAGCAAGGAGCTGCTGGGGAAGGTCAGGAAACACTTTAGGATCATTGGAATTTTCTGCTGTCTTCTGAGACCTTAAACATGTATTAATTAATGTATTCAACCCTTCTAGTTAGCAATCCCTGCGTGGTCGTGTGTGCGCTCTTTGTGCCGTACAGCTAACCCTGTGAAATAAACCAGGTAGTTTTGCACTGAACAAACAGTTTTGCAGAAGATATTAATTGTGTATGCATGTACATATTTATGTATATATGTATTAAAAAATGAACACACTTTTCAGCAGTGGAGTGGTCAGATTAAATAGTCCTGAATTGTTAAAAATGAAATAGCACGCATCATCTTCTATCAGGTTATTTGAAGAAACAAAAGCAAAGTCCTATTTTTTTTTTTTTTTCCCCATTCAGTCTGCCATAATCAGTGTGTACTCACTGTGTCTCAAGTGAAGCTCTTACCTGCCAGCAAGGCTCTAGGAACACGGAGAAAAGTACAAAAGCTCCTGTTTCTGTGTTGGTTTTTGCTTTCTGTCCCCTGCATGACATTTTGGATGTTGCTTGGTTTGTGCTAAACTGAGACTTCAGCTTTTGTTTTCTTTTCAGAACTTTTGTAAGTGAATTTCACAAGAGAGGGCTACTTGTTCACTTTATCTTTCTGTTTATATATCAGCTTCAGCAGTCCTTGCTGTGAAGGTTTGAAAAGTACACCAAGTGTGTTGTGCAGTTTTTCTGCCGTATTTAAACAGACATTAGCATGGTTCCTCTAATTAAGAAAATTTTAAAAAAGTTATGTATTTAATGTTATTCTTGTTTCTTCTCTACATTGTATTTCATGCTATACTTAAAGCCACGACAGTACATCAGAATTTGCGTATTACAGAGGAATGTATGCAAATGGTCTTCCTCACAGTCAGGTTTACACTTTTGTAGTATGTGATGAAATGTAGATGAAAGAGGTGTGGATTTCAAAAAGGGGCTTGCAGTTGGAAGGAGTTGTAGCTGTAGCTGCCTGGGGACTGACTGAAGAATGAAGAGAGCAAAATGTAATCTGCAGTGAAACTTAAGCTTCTGTTGCTGTGCTATTTATTTTTGTAGATTTTCTTTCATCTTTTGCTTGAGCCAAATTAAAGTCATCACTAAAATTAAAAGGCATGATCATTTGGCTGGATTTTTAAGAGACAGAACAGCAAGCTGTGCAACCGTTCCAGTGATTCGCTGTTCTCCTGGTGAAGAAACCACTGGTTTTAAGTGTGTTAAAACTGTGGTACTTCTGGAAGGGAAGAGAGCCATTGTAATGCACATTGCCCCTTACCTGATGCTGCATTAAAGGTGTTACTGTTTCCTGACTATGCGGTGTTACAGAAGAGATCTCCGTTTAGCAGTGTTGTTAAAGTGACGGAGGGGCATGCCACCAAATCCAGTGTTTGCAGTCTGGGGACGAGCATTCCGAATGACCACTTTACGTTTCTCTCTTTAACAGGTTTGGGAAAAACCAAGAGAAAGACGAGCGCGAGAGACGCCTCACCCACTCCTAGCACGGACGCAGAATACCCATCCAACGGCAGCAGCGCCGACCGGATTTATGATCTTAACATTCCAGCCTACGTGAAATTTGCCTATGTCGCGGAGAGGGAGGATGAACTGTCCCTCGTTAAAGGATCCCGAGTGATTGTCATGGAGAAGTGCAGCGACGGCTGGTGGAGAGGTAGCTACAATGGACAGATTGGCTGGTTTCCTTCGAACTATGTGGTAGAGGAGGTTGAGGAGGCAACTGCAGATTCACCCAGCTTTCTCAGCTTAAGGAAAGGTGCTTCCATGAGTAACGGCCAGGGCACCAAAGTACTCCACGTTGTTCAGACACTGTATCCATTCAGCTCCGTCACAGAAGAAGAGCTCAATTTTGAAAAAGGGGAAACGATGGAAGTCATTGAAAAGCCAGAAAACGACCCAGAATGGTGGAAATGTAAAAATTCCAGAGGGCAAATTGGTCTTGTTCCTAAAAACTATGTAGTAATCATTAGCGATGGTCCTACCATTAACACTTCCCATCCGCCTCAGATAAGCTACACGGGACCATCTTCCACCGGACGGTTTGCTGGAAGAGAATGGTATTACGGGAATGTTACCCGACACCAAGCAGAATGTGCCCTGAACGAAAGGGGAGTGGAAGGAGACTTCCTTGTTAGAGATAGTGAATCTTCGGTAAGTGGTACTCAGCCCGGCAGGCCTTGTCATACCCGATGCTTGGGTTAGCAGGCATGACAGTTAATAGCTTCCCTCTCTGTAGTAAAGGGCTTTTCACCCTTAAAGAAGCAAGCAACGCTTTGGCCTTACCAGCCGATACGCTTACTGCTTGCAAGAATCGGTCTGTTACTGAAACGCAGTGATATTTACACTGAAATTTAGCAGCTGTGGTCTGTATTATCCAGGGGGTTTTAATTAGTGGACAAGCAAGGAAATATTTCAGGCTTCAGTTTGACTTTTCAGGCATTCCTCATATGCAATCCTCCTTAAATTTACAGCGCTACAAGATAAAATAACTCTTGTGAATTGCAAATTTGGTTATTAATTTGATTTTAAAGCTAATTTCAAATGGGATCTTTGCATTGGTCAGTTTTGTTCTGCTTTTAATTGAATAATAACATAGGTTCTTTAAACTATGGGTTAAAATCCCATTTTAATGTATTTCTGCTCTACTTAGATTATTTAGGTTGTAATAAGGGAAACTTATTATTGTATCTAACTGTTAAGATTATGATACACAACAGAGAGGGTCAAGTCAGCAGCTCATATGCTTTGTAAATTGAGCCTTGATGACATCAGAGGGATACGAGTAGTGCTGATTAGGGATCATTGTGATTCTGAAAGTTCAAATTTAAAATTACACTGAGAGGCCTTTCATGTATGCTAAGGCCAGAGGATTTATAGTCAGAGCACTCAAAATTTAATTAACCCTTGACTGTGATTTTGAAAAGGTGACAGATTTTAATAATCCCTTAATATATCTTTCAAAAGGTACCAAAAAAAAAAAAATCTGAATTTGTGATTAGGGCTTTTCTGCATTTATTGTTTCAACTGTAGAGCCATTTCATGAAAACACGTTGTTTAGTAGATGTCTCCATCTAAGTATTTTGTTGCTTCATGTATAAAAATTAAAAAATAATGTAGTTACATTAGCTCAGTCTTCTAATTTGAGCATACGGTACTACTAAAATAAGTATACCTTATACAGCTACGGACATCTATCTCTATGCCGTATTTGTATTGGGTTTCACTGTGCCCGTATTATGGGCTATCTTCGTTTACAGCGTAGGTTGTGAATAAAAACTAAAGCAGTGTCAGCAGCATACAGTTTGAACCATAATATGGTTTTTAAGACTACTTGATTCTGATGTCTTTAGAAGGCTGTACTGATTGCATATATCACTTCTGGTTAGAACTTGTGATATTCTTTATCATAATTGTATGTAAACTGGGGGAAAACTGTTCCTATATACTATTCCTCGTGTAAATTATTTTAGTAATTAGTTGGTAGTAGGTGTTGGCATGGCTGCATGCTGGAAAACAAAGAATTTGCTTTAAGTAAACGGGAGGATTAAGCTTGAGCTCAAATCTGGAAGTAAAGATCCTTTTAGCTCACGATACTTTTTTGGAAGTATGTTTCACATTTCATTTGCTGATTCTGTTCTTCCAAAGTTGCAATTTCAGCTACTCAGAAGAGGTCATAGAGTGAAGTCAAAATCAGAGGTAGTATTGAGGCAGATTCATTAGGTAGTGCATACTAAAGGATACTCTTTAGTGGACAAGCAACTAAATATTTCAGGCTTTTCGTGTATTCCTCATATGTAATACTTAAATTTGGGGTTGGCTGGCATGTTGGCTCTTGGTGAGGGAGATGAACAGAGGCTTCTAGTGACAACAACAACAGGTGAAAGACAAGGAAATTGTTAAATGTGTAGGATTTTCTAAATCCAAATAAAACTTTGCATTCTAATTTTTGGAAAACAGTAGTAATTTTTTTTTATTATTATTGAAGTTAGGACTCTTGCTATTCCCTGAAATTTTTACATCATATGTAACATTATTGACAAAATACAATTCTGTAATAGTCCCAGATTTTTTTTTTTCTGCATACAGTATTGTCTGATTAAATTTCAGGCATCTTTCCATGATGAATTTGCTCTGTAGAAGACATGGTAGCTGTCAGACTACCCTTCCTTTGAAGTTCTCTGTCATTGAATTGCTATTTCTGCTCTTAGTAATCTGCTCTGTAATCACTAAATGAAGGCAAATGCAAATAAACTACAGGAGAACAGGAAGAAAAATAGAGATTAAATAAAAATAAACCAGAGGAGAACAGGAAGAAAAATAGAGATTTAGAAAACATTTCTGACTTAGAGAGGCTGAGAGGAATCAAGTTTGTTTAGTCAACAGAAGAAAAGGCCGAGGTTGGGCATGCAGTCTTCTAAAATGTAGAAAGCCACGAGAGGATTATGGTAATCATTAAATTACAGTAGTTCAGCTGTCTCTTCAAGGGTAGCATCCTGTCTTCCAGGGGCAGGCGGGTATCGTGGATGCAGTATACCCTTGGTGTGTCCATCCAGTAGGTAGAAGCTCACTTTCAGATTTGGATGCTGCATTTTCTTCTGTCTTTTGGGAAAGTGCCAGAAGGACAGTTTGAAAATTAATACATTACTTAAAATAAGAAAATGCGCAGCCATTTCTCAGCGCACGTCATGTCACAGTGACCACCGTGCTATGGCTCGTTTCTTTGCTCTTAAGAGTCTAACCTCTGGAGTAAACAAATTTTCTTGAAAAGACACAGTAACCTTTTAATTTAATATGACATCATAATACTAAAGACGCTTGTATTCAAAGCAGTTTCAAATTTGCTGCCTGCATTGTTGCTGGGGAAATTGTTGCTTGTGGAGCACAAAAAGATTCATTCAGAGTGTGGTCTTCAAGTTGTTTCTAGCATCTAACACTTACTGGAATCCCAGAAAACTTGCTCCATTCACATTACAGCAAGCTTTTTCACACACGCAAAAAAAAATGTGCTGAATTGAGGAACTTACGGCTTTTTTTTTTTTTCTTTTTCTAATCTTGATCCGGTCTTGCAGATCCTGTATTTGAGGGGGTTTTTTTGAGCAATGAGAATAACTGTAACTGAACATGTAAATGCTTCCTTTGTCTTGGTACTACTTGAGAGTTTTAGTTTTTATTAGGTTTAAAGAAATATTTTACTACATCTCAAACTTTTGCCTACCCTAATCTTTATATATCATACCATCATGTAATTTGTTTATGTATGTGAATTACAAAAGCATTGGGCCACGCTGTGGCTAAAAGTCACCAGGAGTGTCTGCACGATCGGAGCAAAGGATCTTGATTAGAGAGACCAGACTGAACCGAGCAAAGTTGTCAGCTCTCTGGTTTGCTCGTCTTTCCACCAAACCAGCAGTTCCCATTACATTGTGTTATGAACCCACCTATTAAAGCTGTAGTTGCAGGGGTTATTCCTTTCTAAAAAGGCCCATAGATAAAACTCTGAGTCATCCTGCTAATCCTGTGCCTGATTTTTGACCTGTTTTAGGGTTTTCTATAGACTTTCATCACCATAGTTACGAAAAGTCATCTGTGTAAAAGTTTTCCTTAGATTTGCATTTTGGTCTTGTTACTGAGCTATGAAAAGCTCTCCTTGGATAGATGAAGGTTTGTATTTTGTATTCACTTGATGAGACTGCCATGTTTCTCCATTTCAAATTTTAGTAGCTACAAGATTTTACAGTGTTTCTCTAGATTTAACTTACCAGATGTTTGTCTCACAGCTAGATTGCTTTAGCCAAAAACATTCTCCTCAGATACATTTGGATCTAAGGGATGCTGCCATAGTGGAGAATATCCCGAGATGAACTCTGTCAGGTAGCTAGGAGCCTGATTATCTTCATTAATTACGAAATACTATTATTAGAACCATAAACTTGTTTGAACCATTTAAGCCTATAGTTTATGTAACAGGCACAGTTACCTACTGGTAACATTTTTGCCAACTCTATTATTCCCAGGTAATGTGGCCTCAGTTTTGGAGATGTAAAGGAGGAGACTGAAGTGGAACATACCTAGTTAGAAATAACTGCTCGATTTGTTCTTTCTGTTACAGGCTGCTCTGTCGATTGAAAACTGAAGTTTGTTGTCTCATTTAAGTAACACTCCTGAACAAATAATGCAGATTTAATCTATGCAGTCTCTGTACAGCCACTTCTTACCCTTTTTGAATTGCAGGCTCTTAGCGGTCAGATTTTTGTTCTCTCTGTGTGGTACCTACCCCAAGACAAACAAGTCTTGGCTGACACCGTTGGCCTGGGTTGGGCAGGTGATCGTCATGCTTTGAAGATCTAAGGTTCCACTGGGGAGAGAAGCAAATTTGGAAGGAAGAGGGTTTTTTTTGTTCAGATTCACCCTGGGAAACAAGTGTGCTTGCTAGCGCTGTAGCTAACAGGAACCAGCAATAGGCTGTGGCTGGTGACGAGGGAGGGCAACCACAGCTCGCTGCTGAGCAGGTCCCCTGCTGCAGGCACCCCGAGACTTCAAAGGGAGCTTCCATCAGGACTCGCAGTCCCCTCGCGCTCGGCTGCGAGCGGGTGCAAAACAGTCGATTCGACAAACGCCGCTGTTTCATAACCCTATGATGTCTTCTCGCGAAGCAGAGATGTTTTTCTCAGGCCAGCTCTATTTGTTAGCATGAGTGATCTATGCAATTTCTTGGACGATTTCAGGAGCAATTATTTATTGGGAAGTAATGGCTACCTTCTGCCAATAGTGTCACAGCTATCAAATTATAGTAACCGATCCTAAATGGGGTTGCAGGCTATATAGTATTAAGATGATACTGAGGATTGTAGGTGCGACTGGATTTGTGTCAGTCCTTTAAGGTCACATTTAGCTTCTGTGCTCTTTGTCCAGCGATAGTGGCAGCAGAGGGAGGAGGCACAGGTTGAGAGTTTGTATGCTTTTTGAGGTGCTAATTCTGTGGCATTCAGGGTTTTCCATTTTTTCCTGGGGTTTTAATCCTGAAAGTGTTGGATAGAAGCAATGAAATGTGGCAACGGTTAAAAAACTGAGTCATTATCATGTTCTGTGACATATTGTGATTGATGAGTACAGTGGAGAGGAGGAGGAAGTTTATCTTTAAAAACAGGCTTAAGAAGTATCCTAGTGCTTTATTTTAAATGGAAGAATAGAAATCTTATTAGAGCTGTATTTGATGATCAGTGGAGCTAATTCATGTTTCTGACCTGCGTAATGTTGATTTTGGAACATGGTGAACATTACATAGAGGAAGGTATTTGTTTATATCCAAATGAGGTGGAAGGGGTAGAAAAAGGAATTTTTAATCCTCCCAGATGGTTCTGTCCAGCCTGCCCTTAGACTTTTGAGCTATGACTTTTTTTGGCTGGGTGACTGAGTAGGAGGAGGAGTGAGGGAAAGCCTGGGTGTGGAGGTGGAAGGAGTTGGGGAGCTTCAGGGCAGGCTCACAGGTGGGAGCTCGAAGGGTCTAGAACAGTTTGAAGAGTGAGTGCATGAGAATATCTTCCATGGAGAAAGGGCATTGCCAACTGGAACTGGATTGAAAGGAAAAACAGTAAGTTACAGGATCAGTAAAAGGCTTTCAGAGGGAGTTATTTTTCCCAATGTTGCCATTTATGATAAAATTGTCTTGTTTCATTCTCAAATGGAGTTTGTAAAGAGGGAACTTTCTTTCCCGGTTTCACTTGTTTTCCCTTATATTGCTTTATAACTTGTCTTCATGGTAGTTTTCCATCTTTTTGAAAATACAGTGATGTTCCTGACCAAATAAGTAAAATTAAAAGAACATCTTCCTACCTGTTGTCTTCCACATGCTGTAAGCACCAGCTGGCTTATGGTCATCTTAGTCATAAGCAGGAGTTAAAATAAAGGAATCTGAAACAATTCAAAGAAGTACTACACCTGGTCTGAAGAGCTGTAGATGCATAACAGCTAATCTTCAATTTTCTGTCTTAGGAATTAATTTAACTTCAGATTTAGGTCTTCACAATTATGGCAGTACAGAAATATTCACAGGTTCCTTGCCATGAAGCTATGCTCTGTAATTCTGTTGCAGAATCATCAGCTCCTCTATACATTTCAGGGATTAAAGCTTACTTCTGATGTGCCCTTATTTGGTGTATGTGAGGCTTTTATTCCTGGAAAAGTTAGTGTGCAAACATCCAAATGTAGCAATTAATTTAAGAGGGAGAAAGGAGAAAAATTGGCCAGCAGTTGAAACAAAATAGCTTAAACAGTAAATAAAATAAACAGACTTGGAGCAAATCCAAGGAGGACAGCAGGGAACCAATTCAAGCTGCATCGAACCAGCATACTTTGAAATGGAATGTTTAAGAGCAGTAGTTTATCTAGAGATTTTTTTTTTTAATAGTCTTTTTAACCATTTTGCATGTTTGTTAGAGTGGGAAAGAACCAAAATAAAAACAAATGCAAGTCCAGTTGCTTTCGCTGTTTGTTCTTGAATCCTGTAGAAGTTACTATGCTGAGGCCAATAAAGGGTTTCAGGATTCTTGCAACAGCTGTTTGAGCTCTTCCATCTCTTTGCACCGGATGATGGCTCTCAAAAGAGTTAGATCAGCCTTTCCGTTGTGTGTGTGGGGGGGGTGTTGGGGTTTTTTTTTCTTTAATTAGATCAGATCACGAAAAGAATAAACTTTGTAACATATTCTGGAGAAAATAAGCGATAATAATGTCTTTTATTTATGCATCAATCTAATTAGCAGCTCTAAGGTTGGGAAGAATGGACAATAGTTCAGGAGAACGCTCATTCATTAGAGTTATAATTAAAATGGCAGGAAAAGTATTTAATGTATTGTGTAGATCACCTCACAAAGATCTAAGTCTGGCCAGTGCCTGGGACATAGGACAGTAGATCAGAGGTCTAAGACCTATTCCAGCACCTCTGTGTGTCATTAGCACATCCTTTCTGGTCTAAAGATAACAATTCTTAGCAGATACAAGGAGCGATGAAAACTCATAATTTTGGCATGCTGAAAACAACTGTGCTTTGCCAGAAAACATTAACATTTTGTTGAGCTTGAAGTGATTATTTCACTTATTTTTAAACCTTTGTCATAACATCTTTTCCTGTTCCTAAAACAACAAAAAAAAGTGTTTGGTTCAGATTATGAACTTATAAATGGTAAGTTCTTCTGTTTTAAATGAAGGCCTTTTGCTTACTGGTTTTCGTTTGCCATAGGCATCACCCATGGAAGCAGCAGAACTTAGTCAGCAAGGCTTGATGTTGTTTTTCGAATCCTGAGCAGCTAGTCCGTACGTGCTCCCCTCAACTGAAGAGACCCTACAGACTTACCTGGCAGCCTGTGGTTAGAGCACAGCGATCAGCTCACTGCCCAGAGCCCGTACCCTAAATTTCTCCTCCGTGAGCCCAGGGTCCCGGAGCTTCTGCAGAGCTTCGTTGGTGCAGGCTTGTGCTTCGTTACCGTTTAATGGCTGCCCCTTCTTAGGGCTATGGAGATGTCCATTGAAACGGGTCCTAGGCCTGCGTGGTTATGGCTGCTGGAGGGTTTGTCCACGCTGCGTTCGGGCTCTGAACCACAGCGCGGTGTTGGTGCAACTGGGTTAGCTTTAACCCAGGGAGGTAGGTGTTGAAAATAGGTCACTCTTGGTGTGAGTTCTCTGCAGCCTTGTTTGCGATGCTCCTGAGGCAGGGGTTTCATATCAGAGCTGGCTGGCCTAAAATAGCAGTTTTTGAACCTGGAGCTGGGGACAGATGACCAGGCATGAAACTTATCTTGGGTGGAGCACTGGAAACCCCAAAGATACGCTCTTACGCACATTTATTTCCATCCCTTTCCCCCACCCTCCCCAGTCCTCTCCTCTTGGTGGTCACGGGGGGTGTTGCCTGTGTTTTGAGCCGGTGGCTTTGGAGCTGCTCAGAGCCCGAGGCAGCCTTCCTGATGGAGCCTGCGCTGACCCGGCCAAGGCCCGGTGACACTGGATTATAGGTGGAAGGAGTAATTCTCCTATGGGTGTTAGGTAAAAACAATGTTTAAAGAAGTGATGCTTGTGGATCTGGAAATCAGTGGCTCGAGGTAGAAGGGGGTTAGCCCAGAGGTGTGGGGAGCTGGCTGCTGGCTTGAGCAGTGCAAAAGGGGAAGAGCTGCTGCCCAAAACTTGAGGAGCAAGTCTGGGGAGTTGGGCCAGAGCCAGATCGATGGGCATGGCAGGAGCTTTGTTTGCTGCAGACAGGGCAGATGGAGTTGGAAGGGAAGGCGGAGAGGGCATCGGTATTAAAACAACTGAGGGGGAGATGCAAGGGATGAGATTTTGGGGATGGGCAGAACGTGGGGGATGTGTGGGGCAGAGACCCACATCACTGCAGGAAAAAAGACAGCGTGCCTGAGAAAACGCTGTCCTTCGGTTTCCTTGGGTAGGTACTCGGTGTGTATCTGACCCCCCAAGCGCAGTGTAGAGGGCTCCGGAGGCTGTGGTTTCTTGAACCGAAGTCTGGTGACACAAGTAACGTCCGAGGGCTCTCAGTTCTCTGCTGTGCCACAGCTCTGCTCGTGGTTGTTCGTAAGGCGATGCTGTGAACCAAATAGTCCCTTGTGGGTTTTGTTTAGCCTGGATGAGTTCAGGTTCACAGCGCTGGCTTGACCACAGCAGCAGCGTGGCGGCGGGGAGGACCGAGGGACTGCACGAAGGCCGTGTCTGAAGTCTAGCACATGCCTCCAGCGGTTTCTGCCTGAAGCCATGCCTTCAGCGGGCAGAGACCCTGCAGCAGTACCTCCAGAGTCTCATCAGGTGTTACTTATCTCCATTAAGTGCTTGCTACAAACTCTGGTGTGCGCTTTTTATTTTTTATTATTCCATTTTCCCACTGGCCAGCAACACCAGCCTCCAGCCTCCTCTGGCGGGGCAAAGCCTATACTCCAATCTCTACAGTCGGCCAGCAGCGGTCAATGGCTAGAGATGGAGTTCAGCTGGAAGCGAGGGACAGTGTGTCCTTTCTACCCTCCCTACGGCAGCATGTGGCGCAAAAAGCGGAATGGTCTCGTCCCAGCTGTTTGGATGACAGCACTGTCTTCGTTAAAGCAACCAATCGCCAAGACGAAAAGACTTATCATGTGAAATTTTTCTGTCCTGAATAACGTAGTGTTTAAATTTTGTGTTTTGTGGGTGGTAGTTTGATGGCGAGATTTGTACTGTGTTTTTATTCTATAGCTTTATTTTTTTTTACAAAAAAGCTGTACTTAATAGGAGAAATTATTCCCCATACGTGGTAAGAAGGTAAAAGGTGAATGTGAATTTTGTCTTTTGCAATGCAAAGCAAGAACAGCCCTCTAGTGGTGGTCACGGCTCTAAAAAAAGCCATACAGGCAATTTTCTTCATCTCACCCAAGCAATATTGCAATAATTGCTTTCTCCAGGACTCTCTGGCAAGGAAACCATAGAGGATGAAAGTTTTTCCCTTCTCCTTGACATTCTCGTGCTTCTAGACTGAGTAGCTAAGATAATATTTGCAATTTAGTCATGTAATTGGCAACTTCAGACTGTGCATCTGGGGAGCTTTCACTTAACTGTCTTAACTGTGCACGTTAATAATGATGGCAATTATTTATTGAATAATAGACTATTGGGTTTCTTAAGTAGCTAAAGCACCGAGCTGTGGAACAAAGACTAGCATAAATTACCATCAACTATGTGACACAGTTTGTTCCTGAAACCACAAAATTACGCCTTCATTTTGTTCACTTTTATGTAATTCTTTTTTTTTTCTTTCTGAATTCTTCTCAACAGCCCAGTGACTTCTCGGTATCTCTAAAGGCGTCGGGGAAGAACAAACATTTCAAGGTGCAGCTCGTGGACAATGTCTATTGTATTGGGCAGCGTCGCTTTAATACTATGGATGAGTTGGTGGAACACTACAAAAAGGCTCCCATCTTCACCAGTGAACACGGGGAAAAGCTATATCTTGTGAAAGCACTTCAGTGACGTTGAAGATGGACTTGGCCACCTGGGCCTCTTATAATTTACAAGCCTTAGGTCCTAAATTCACTTTTATAGAGCAGAGCAATATCTGAAGCAGGCTTAAGGAATAGGCTCTTTCTGAAGTGTTTGCTCTGTCTGTTGCTGTTGTCCTTTTTTTTTTGTTTGCCTCTTTTTGTGTTCCAGTTCTGTTAATCTCCAACCACCTCTCTTCAGGTTGAGAGTTTCCCTTGGGTGGCCGTGGCGAGCACTCACCTTCCCGGCTGAGTTCAAAACTCCCCTCTCCTGTGTACGTTTACATAGTTAGCTCAGATCAAGGAGGGGCGTTTTCAATTCAAACCAGTGTTAATCTGTTCAGATTGCTCACGCAGGCAGAACTCTCCGTTCAGAGACATCGGGCACAGTTTGAATGCACTGAAGCTGCAGCTACTTAAGTGAGAGAGTAGACATAACAGTTGTGGCTGTGAGTTCTGTAGCTATATTGCTTACCGAGTAGTATATTACAAAAACTCCTAGTTCCTAGAAGCACTCTTTACACTGTACTCTGCTATTACATTGCCTCTCTGACTCTTTGTAAAGAGTACACTAATTAAAAGCATTTTGTAATAGTACTTCTTAAACTACTATGGTAAGATTGTAGTAAAAGAAAACTATCTAGTGTATTTTGGTCTGTAATTGCAACAAAGAGAAATTTTATTTGAAAGTTGATTACTAGAGAAAGAATCATTGAATTGTAAAGGCTGAATGTTTTGGTAATCTACAACCAAATGTGCCATCCACATAATGCTTTTTCCTCTTGCCCTTCTGCTTGTTTGAATTAAACGATTATGTATTTAATTCTCAAAGTAATATGTATCTGTAGCTGATTGTTGACACTAATACAGAAGATTAATAAAAACTGATCTTGGGATGGGGTGGGGTGGGCTACCAACACTATATATATATTTGCTTTACAGAAAGAAATCTTCGGGTTTTACAGAGGATGGTGTGGTTGGTAGGAAGAGACACAGAGAATGTTTATGAAGAAAATGCATTTTTCTCTTTTCTTTACATTTAAACTCCTTTATGGTTTAAATATACAGTCTTTAGATGGCACATTCCTGAGATTGAAGAAGGGATCGTGAGATCTCAAAATCTTGCATACTCAGTTTTTTGGATATTGTAATAAAAAAGGTATTATGTCATGATGGAGTACTGGATTTATCCTTGGGTGGTAGTCCTGGTGTTGCTTTAGCAAGGTGAAATAGAGTGAATAATGAATTTGTTTGTCTTGGAATTCGTGTGGCCTAAAAAGAAAACTTCTGCGACTGCAGAGAACAGTTTGATATGAGGCAGTGTCTAATGAGCTCTGTGTTACCTGTTTCTGTGATAAGTAAGTCTGTTCATAGCTTTAATGAAAACTGCAAGACGGAGCTGTTTCCTGGTACCTTTTTGCTATTAAAACATGTTCCTTACCTATTCTGTATTTCAGCCAGTGGTAGTACAGCTACTTCTGTGCATAACTCCAGTGTAGGTTAAGCAGACACCAGCGCTGTCTGACTTGCTTTGGTGTAAATCATACCACTACCGGGAAACTGCACCGCTACATCTGCAAATTAATTGCAGTCTTGCTCAGACCCAAGAGGCAAGTACAGTTTTTGAAGCTCTACACACATACTGTTTTCCCACCACTCTTGAAATCTTATTTCTTGTAAGGTCATCTGAATTTGATGTTTTGAATTACAGAATTACCTGTATTTGAATTAACTAACAACTGTATTTTTCTGTATGTGCATTAACATACAGTTAACTGGGCAGTGACACTTCTGCTTGGTCCAGCTTAATGAAGGAAAGCAGTGATTCAGAGCGATACAGAATGGTCATGCATTATCCTGAAGAGCACCTACCCATGACTGTCTTCTAAGAATATAGAAGCTTTCCTTAAGAAGTTGGTGAGAAGTACCAGTTGTTTACAATCTACCTACAGAAGGACTCCACAGTGGGCTGCTGCTTAAACTTCATGAATGAATTCTGCAGAGAATGTCATTTTTTGCCTTCTAATACCTAGTTCGTTCTTTAGGTGAATCTAAGTATGTACTGAGTATGGCAGCGACGTTAAAGTCAGCTATATGTTGTATGAGCATTTTCAGGTTTGACTGAATTGCTTTTCAGTCTCATTGATTCTTTGTAGTATTTGGAAAAATGATATATAGGAATGGTTTTCCTTTTCAGTAAACTGATTACTGCAATTACTCTTTCATGCCCCTTGTTCATATTTCTGAAATGTTCCCCATGTTTCCTCTTCTAAGAGCCTTCGTATGCCTCTTTTGATCCTTTTTTTCACTTTTTTTTTTTCAATAGCCCCTTTTTACAAGGTCTGTTAGTTCCTAACCCCTTTCTAGCCTTGGTAGCTTAGAACCAATACAAATAGATGTTTAAGTGAAGTTTTTACCATATACTTTATATCATAATGGATTTATCAGTTTAATTTTTTTGTGTGTGTTACCTCATCCTCTGTAAACAGCTTCTGTGTATTGAGGTGTGAATTGTTAAAGTATTTTGCTTTGGAAGCAGTTAGTTAATTTACAACCAAGCAGTGTGAATGACTAGCTTGAGGTTTGGGTGGTTTTTTTGTTTTGGTTTGGTTTTTTTTGTTTTTTGGGGTTTTTTTGAAACAAGCCTCATCTTGGTTTTGCCCACACTTTATTTAATCAACGTGCTCTCCATTCAACAGGCTCATTAATAGTTCTTCAGTTCTTCCTGTCTTTAAGATAAGTTTCTGCAAGTTTTGCTGCATTTTTGACCTCATTTGCTGGATTGGGCCTAAGCATTAACAATCTTAAGTACTAACTGCTTAATAAAGGTGCAATAGACACGGATTTTATTTTTATTTTCCTATTTTATATGTACCTTTCTATCTTTTGACAAAACCTCACCCTTATTTTTTGACTACTTAAAGCCTCTTTGTCAAAGCTTGGGGTTGGGGGGAGGGGGGAGAGGTTTAAGATGAGAGCAATTGTGGTGACCTGAGTTTCTTCACCTGCAGTTTTCATTAAAGGCTCAAATAATTTCTGATGGAGTAGAAGTGGTGATTTTTCTTTATGGTATTCAGTCTGGCTTTTCCCATCATATCTGCTTTGTATAGGTGTGTAAGTTGTACTTCTAAGTATTATTCCTGTATGGCTGTTAATGTTTTCTTGCCTTGCTGATGTTTACATAAGAATGTAAATGAGTTGCCTGAATCCATAGCAGTTGCTGTACTTTCCATGCAATGGCAGGAATTTGAGATCCATGGTTTTACTTTTAGCTCCAGGAGCTTGTTGACAAGCTCCCTCTTCCAGTTATCTCGACCGTTTGTGGTATCACCGAATAGCCCTACCTTGAGTAGGCACAAAAAGATGGTCAGAATCCTGTCACTTCTGAACCTGCACATCATAGCCTATCTGTTCTGTAGCACTCCTTTCCTGAGGATGTTTTATTTCAAGGATGCTGTGGTAGCTGTTCTTCATAAATATCTACAGTGTAGTCCTTGGTCCCAGCTTTTATGCTGTTCAGTCTTATGAAAGTATGTGTGTATGTGACATTTTCCAAGGGGTGGGGAGACTAGTGTTACACCAGCCACTCCAGGGTGGTGTACAGCCCCATGCCAACTGGGAGCTGCTGCTCTTTGCACAAACACCTACACTGCCACGCTACTGCTACTGACGGTGGTGGTATTTGGCCAAAATCGTTGGAGAACTTCAAGGCTTACACTGATCTGCAGGTAAATGCTCGCAAGCTTCTGCACAGGTCCTGGGCAGCTGCTAGCTAGATCCAAATGGGAAGAAGCATGAACCCATGGCATGGTGCTGAGTCTCAGCCTGAGAGTCTTGCAGAGGAGTACAGCAGAAACACTGAATACAGGTGTGCAGTGTTATCTGTCAGCAAAATAACTGCACGGTTGGGTACCAGGTAGCCATGGCTAACCTGATCTAGTATTGAGGGTAGTCACCTATTAGGTGGGGACAAATTATTAGAGGATTAATCTAAGAGTGAACCAAGAGCATACCAGGTAAACTCACGTGGATCTGCTGTATTATAAAAGCAAAGGGTTTGCTTAGGCTTTGCTTTTGGGGAGAGAATAGGCAATAGAGACGTGCGGTTGGGTAATTAACGTGAATGTGGACTATATGAATGGACTGTACAGTCCCACTCTTGAATGATTCTGTTTAGTGTTCTCTATTCAGATATTTGTTGTCTCATAAATTTATATGAAATCCTTAAAATTTACAGCTGTTCTTTCAAGCCTTTATTGTAGCTTTTCATTACTGCGAAGTTTGCTGCCTGGTTTAATGGTTTCACTAAGGGGAAATAGAGATCTTCCACATTTAGAATGATAACTTCTGTTGTAACAGAAAGTTGAACTACTTTTAAAATACCACTATGCAATTTTAATTATAAAAATGAGTCAGATTTTGCCTAAGTTATAAATCAAAAACTAGAATAGGGGTCACACTTCTTTTGGATTAGGTTTGGCAATTTACATGGCAAAAGCTACAAATAACTGTAAGGGCTTTTGTTCTTTCTTGGTATTAAACTAGTTTAATTCAGTGATTTAGAGGTGAATGAAACCTGTGCAATCTCCAGAATCTGAATCTGATGAGTTCTGTTTTCTTACTCCAGTGGGATGGGATGACTCATTTTTAAATGGAAACTTGTTAACATATTTATACTGACTAGCTGTGAAAGGTGTATTGCTAAAGTAACTCTCAGCTCTTAAAATGCACTAGGAACCATGAATCTTTCTATTCCTTTCTCTTCAGTACATCCAAAATTCAGTGCCTTTTTTAAGAAGTGGAAAAGTGTAAACCAGCAAGCGTACAGGGTGCACAGTCCTGAATAGTGTTATAAATCACCTGGACCATGTGAATTAACGGTTTTGGAGTAAAAGGAGGATGCAGGTAAACGCTGCTGTTCATTCACTAACTGCTCCTAGGTGGAATAGGCTTTTAAGTAACAAGTACATCAGTTGTGCAATACCACTCTAGAAAGTATACTGCAATTGCAACCCAAATGTGCACCAACTTTAGTATATGAGAACAATGCCTAGTATGTGTATGTTCCTGTGCTGCTGTCTTGCAAAAGCAATAGCTTATTGTCTTTTTCTCTATTTTAGGTGGGTATTCATATCTATAGCTGTTGGAAAATCCAACACACAGAATGTTTTTTGACCTAAATCGACTTAACGTGAAATATAACCTATATATAATACACTTAAAACGATAATATTTTCTGGTCCTTTGCATGCCACTGGAACCCTATGCTACTTTTGTATTTTAAAATGCAAGTTTTTCTGGCATATTCTTAGTGTTTCTTGTTAGAAAATATATTGTCTCCCCTGTTATTGGAAATATCTACCCAAGCTCATACGGAAGCTGACTAACAGAAGTGGCATGTAACCATTGATAGATTAGGCAAGTTTTTCCTTGCATTTTCTTTCATATGTGGTAATGTTAAATGGTTTAGGAGTGGGAGGTTTAAAAAAAAAAAAAAGAAAAGAAAAAAAGAAAAGAAAAAAAGAAGACTCTTTAACTTGACAGATTATCATCAGCAGTGGGAGTCCACAGTTATGAGGAAAAAGTAACAGGTAAGAAATGTTCTTTTCTGTTCTCTTAAGTGAATTTGGTTTGGCATTTAGCTTGATACCATATGGCACTAGTGCCTGAACTATTACAAAGGTTAACAATGCTGACTTGGTCCAGCTTAATGAAGGAATGGATAGATAAAATTGTAAATCTCAATGGCCTACTCTAGAAAATAGTAGTAATCTTCAAAAGGGGCGAACTATGATTTTGGGGATTTTTTTTGTTGTTGTTGGGTTTTTATCTTTTTATTTTTGAAAGAAGACTTCAAAAGAGGTGTCTTGCTCCAGTTTTCAAGCCAAATTTTGCTTCTGAGCTTCTTCCTGAGAAGCACTTCTTTGGGTGTGAGCCAGGCCACAGAGAATATGTTAACTGGACTTATTCTCCCAGCTGTAATTGAAACTGGTGGTGAATAATGGGTTACTTTTTTTTTTTTTTTAATTTTGATCTCCATTAGATTGGATACATACATCTATATGGTAATTAATTAGTGGGTTCTGTGGGTTACTGACTTAGCTTTTTTACCTGGGTTTAACTGTCAAGTTAAAATAAGCTTGATGATTTTTTTTTTTTTTGTTCCTTTT